TGGGCCCGCCTCTTTGTGTGTGTGTGTGTGTGTGTGTGTGTGTGTGTGTGTGTGTGTGTGTGTGTGTGTGTGTGTGTGTGTGTGTGTGTGTGTGTGTGTGTATTGATATTCAATAAGGTTATGCCGTGTGCAGGGTCGTAAACACAAATTTTCTATTACTAAGAGCGCGGCTCATTTATTGCGTAAAACTGCCCGGATATACAACAATGATATTGGTTATAATTTGTCTACAAAAAGGGTGTAAATAAGTTGGCATTATTTGCCCAGTTTCTGAACACAATACACCGGATTTATTTTTTGCACTAGCCCAGAGCATCGCTTGTTTCATTCAGGAGCTGTTGACAGCCATCGCTGAGAGGGCCCTTTGGTAAATAAAATACTGATAACAATCCCTATGCTATAAGTAGATTGAGAGTTAAAGCCTGTCGACTGTATGAGGGTCACTACCAGGACACACTGACAGCTCACGCCACAAATTACAAGGTTATGTGTACCGAGAAGCGTTTATTTTTCCCAGTATATACAGTGATAGTTTACTTTTATATCCATTTTGGGGATTAAGGTAACTACGACTGGCGGTGTACAGATGAAATGCAGCCTCAATTACCCACGTGTAGTCCATAGATAATTAACCAACCAAATACAATTAACATTTTGTATATATTCAGAGTATATATCTCTCGCATGAATACCAATAACCTTTATTGTTGAAACACGTGAGAATAACGGTGTATATACACCGAGGGTGTATATTTAAATGTATATACACTTAGTATATTTTATTCTCTTGGGGATTAATACACTTAAACAGATATGCATGAAGCCTTAATGACCATTAAGTAGTCGAAGATCCCAAATCAAGAATAAAAAAGGCATAATACCGTGTCTGGAACAATACACAAATAACTACCAACGAAACTTCAAGTTAGCACAAAAAAATATATATAATAACCAGGATCATCAAGCAGTTTATATACGAGATTCAATGAACTGTAGTGTATGCTAAAGGGTACCCCGCATGTGGAGAAGAAAACAGCAGTGTTAATGAGACTATTTCTACTGCCAACTGGATTCCTCATCAACCGAATTCTACTGATGAGGACCACAGTTGGGAGTCGAAATAGTCTTATTTCTATTGTTATTTTCTTGTTTATAGCTGAGGGATACCCTTCAGCATCAACAAGTGTTCATTATGAAGAATTGGACACATGTGTAACATCTGGTTATCTTTATTGTAGACGTTTCGCCATCCAGTGACTATGATTACCTCATCTTTTGTATATAGTTCTACTGTCTTCCAATTATGTCTTTGAATTTGTATTGATAAAGTCACTCGATGGCGAAACGTCTACAATAAAGATACCCACATGTTGCACATGTGTCTAATTCTTCCTCTTATCGGTGCTGTGTACTATACATGTAAGTGTTCATGATACTTACCACCAATTACACTGCACTATTATCTACAAAATGAATATCACCGTAGAAGCGTACCTGATTATTTCTACGAGTCTCTCTAGTTGTGTAACTACATCAAGTTAAATTAGATCATGCTCAAACAGGAACATGTTAAACCCAAGAGTCAAATGTCAGTCAAACTGGTCAAAATATTTTTTATACATTTTTTTATGCTTTTTATCATTTATCATACAGATATAAGCCACGCAGCAATTAAAATTAAATACTTTTGGGGCGAGATGTTTGCTTTAGCAATTGAGTTGTGGATGAGTGGAACCATCTTCCAAACAGTGTCATGGAAGCTGTAAACATAGGTCGGACAGATGCATTAATGAGTGTGAGCTAAGACATTCCTAGTATGAACCAGTAGGCCAGTTGCGTGTTAATATGATAATGGTATACAATACCGACAAGTTTATAAGTAAGATACATGTGCAACAGTTAGGTATCTTTATTCCGAAACGCTTCGTCTACATAGTAGGCTTCTTCGGTCGAATTGTAATAATGTTGGTAGAAATGCCGACAATATGTTTAGTAAAGGGATGCAAGTGCTTAGTTAACTAATGCAACATTTTATTGTGGCAACATTTCACTCTCCAGGAGCTTGACAAAGCTCCTGAAGAGCGAAACGTTGCCACAATAAAATGGCACATTAGTTGCACCTGTATCCTTTTACCTAACATTCTTCAGTCGAGTACAGAGGAGGGAGCAGAGCAGAAAAGATGTAAAGACGACGTAATCAATCAGCCTGGAGAAGAACATTGCTTCATAGTTTGCAATAATGTGAAGATAAGGCAATAGAATGGAGATTAATATACGGTCAAAGGTGAGGCTCCTATAATTTTGACGAGATGGAACCTACTAACAGAAGTAAGAATACCCTCTCAATGATAGCATTGTTACTTCTACTAGTAGGCGCCATCTCTCCTGTTGTCAAGATTATCTGCGCCTCATCTTTGACAGTATTTAAGTCTCCATATTGTTGTTTCATAACCTTCCTATGGTGTAGAAATATACCTAGTTGGATGAATCTTATTGTGGCTAGCTGGTCCAGTGGCTAACGCGACGGTCTGGAGTTTTGAGACTCGGATCATGGGTTCTACCCCACCCTTGGTATGGTTTGTTTGCAATCGTGTCATTACGATTTCGTGAGTCTTGTTGCTTCATCTTAACACTGTTCCAGACTATGAAGCAATACTCTGTTCCAGGCCGAGGGACTGATTACCTCTTCTTAACATCTCTTCTGTTTCTGCTGCAGAGTCGGGGTATTTTTTCCAAAATGATTTGTAATATACCCCTGTGGATAAAAATACTTTACCATTTCTTGAAAATTTCTGAGTGAATTGTCTCTGAATTCATTAATTTTTATCGAATTCCAGCACATAGCGACACAAGGTGTAACAATAATCCATTAAAGGACCCCAATGGAAATAAGTCAGTCTGACTTTTTTGGGGTTATCCTAGTTTTTTTTACACATATGCTGCTATGTATGATAATCTATGTAACCATGTATACCTGAATAAACTTACTTTCTTACTTACTAGGCAAAGTTTACATTTCGTTTGGTCTACATCTGGTGGTAGTGATTAACCTCTCAAATATAACGGTATCCCAGCCGGAGTCAGTGGTCAGTACCAGACTTGATAAATCTGAAGCAATGGCAGGAAAAAGTGGGCTTATATACGGGAGTCAGATGAGAAGGCGTTGTCACTAGTATACTGGATTCACCAGTTGAAGTAGGTCATGCCAAGGAGTAGGGTCATGAACCCCCCTGAGGCTTACCAACCCAGGATACTTGTCCTGTTTCCTGACAAACATTATACCTACCTACCAACCCAGGATAATCTAGGAAAGCCAAGCAATGTGGCTTCCGCTTGCGCCATGTGGTTTCTCCCAGGATACCAGCCACAGTCTGCTAAGACTGTTGTGACTGTGCAAATGCAATTAAAAAAATACATCGGAAAATTAATGGCACTTTCTATGAATGCCTTTTCACGTGCTATTAAATGGGGCAAGGATCCCCATTTAATAGCACGTTAGGGTTATCCTAGACAATTTACACTATATATGATAACTATTTTTGTGTACCTATGCCTAAATAAACTTGCTTACACATTTACAAGAAAAATCGCACTACATAATGGTTTTAAGAGATACGTATCTAGTAGCACGTAATATTAAGAGCCCCGACTGACGTTCCCGTCACCGATGGGTGTGGAGAACTCTCCGATATTTTCCTCCCAGCGACAAGATTTGCATATATCACTCAGCAAACGTAACCCACTTTGTTAAAGACCCACAAAAAAAACAGAAAACTGAGTGGACTAGTAGGGGGGAAAAATGGAAATTTGAACGAGATCATCGATACCTCATAAAAAAATGAAAAATCACTGGAAATTGTATTTGATATTACAACAACCATGACCATAACTCTACGATACTTTAACGTTGAGTTACTTTACGATACTTTAACGTTGAATTACTTTAACTCGACGATACTTTAACGTTGAGTTACTTTACGATACTTTAACGTTGAGTTACTTTACGATACTTTAACGTTGAGTTACTTTACGATACTTTAACGTTGAGTTACTTTACGATACTTAACGTTGAGTTACTTTACGATATTTAACGTTGAGTTACTTTACGATACTTAACGTTGAGTTACTTTACGATACTTAACGTTGTTACTTTACGATACTTAACGTTGAGTTACTTTACGATACTTTAACGTTGAGTTACTTTACGATACTTAACGTTGAGTTACTTTAACTTTTCTCCCCATTTTACTTTAATATTTCTATACTTTATTTTATTGTTACTAAGTTTGCCAAAATGTGTGAACTTTGTTAAATATTTCTTAAATGCGCATATTATGATTATTATTATTATTAATTATTAATTATTATATATTAGTATGATTATTAATTATTATTTATTAGTATTATTAATTATTATTATTATTATTTATTATTATTATTATTAATTTTTAATTATTATTAATTATTTATTAATTATTTATTAGTATTATTATTTATTTATATTATTATTACTGTCAATGTTAATATCATTGTTATTATAATCATTGTTAGATCATGAGGTTAAACTTACTAAATACATAAAAAATATACATAGTTTCTAAAACTCGTCAAATTATTATTAAACAGAAAAACGGCGTCCAAATTAATGTTATGGAAGAAATTAAAAATACCAACGATAAATATATCTAAAAAAGGCATCAAATTGAGACCTTTTTTTTGTTCATATATACATTGAAGACCGACAATTTTTACTTAAAAAATTTGAATGAACAAAGAAATTAATCACTGGAGAGGGCATTTAAATGGCTCAATGGGTCACATTCCCCCAAAAACCCCAAAAAATGAGGATTCGAAAAGTACATAGCGGTAAAGTTACGAGAAAATGAAAAAAAAAAAACTTTGAAGGTAGTGAAGAATGGTCATGGAGACGAGAATAAACTTGAACTTTGTATATTCTCTCTGTATTCCTCCCAAGTTTGTTCCAAAAAGTTCACACTCACCACGAAGAGGAGGTTGAAGATGAACAGGAGATATTTAATACACTTCATTCCAGTGTCGAGCGCCATTTCTACGGGAAAAACCTTAAAAGCCAGGAAGCGCACACAACCCACCTCTACACTGGTCGAGCCACTACTGACACCTCCCACAGAAAACCTCCAGACTATCCTCAACTCCGCGTAGGAATACACAGGTAAGTACTCTCAAGGGGATCAAATGCGTTATACGACGTCCTTCCCGTCCGTAGACGCACACGCATACGGCAGTCGTAGCCAGACTTTATTCCGCCTGTGGAGGCCTACGACCAGGGAGGATGTGAAAAATAATTTGGCCTAGGTTTTTATGCGGACACTCAACACAGAGTGAACTCTCCTACTACGATAGCTAACCGAAGGTAGAGGGATAGATAGATAGACAGATAGATAGATAGATAGATAGATAGATAGATAGATAGATGGATAAGTGGATAGATGAATATAGATAGATATGTAGACAGATACAGAAATACATACATTCACAGATACACACACACACACACACACACCTGTTCTTAGTAACCTATACATGGAATTTTTTGAAACAAGGTTGCTTAACACAATCCTCCCTAATAGAGCTAAATGGTTCAGATATGTTGATGATATTTTGTGTCTTATGCCCAAAAATGTAGATATACACCATTTTCTTGGAAAATTAAATAGCTTAGCCCATTCTATAAACTTTACTGTTGAGTTTGAAGAAAATAACTCATTGCCTTTTCTAGATGTTTTAATTATTAAGGGTAATAATGAATTCAAATTTAAAATTTACAGAAAACCTACAAATAACTGTTCCTATGTCCACTATTATTCCTCGCATCAAGATAGAGTCAAACTGTCTGTTTTCTCATCAATGTTTTTGAGAGCTTTACGAATTTGTAGTCCTGAGTTAAGAACATAAGAACATAAGAACGTAGGAACACTGCAGAAGGCCTACTGGCCCATGCGAGGCAGGTCCAAGTCCCTACCGGCCTAAGCCAATGCACCCAACCTAGTCAGGTCAGGTCACATTGACTTAAGGGAGAACACGGCAACCGACCTGTTAGCACAAGCTATCAGGTCTAACTCACACCCACCCACATCTACTCATGTATTTATCCAACCTATTTTTAAAGCTACACAACGTCTTCTGGCCTCTATAACGGTACTTGGGAGTTTGTTCCACTCATCCACAACTCTATTACCAAACCAGTACTTTCCTATAACCTCCTGAATCTGAATTTTTTCCAACTTAAAAACCATTGCTGCGAGTCCTGTCCTAGGCTAGATATTTTCAGCACACTATTTACATCCCCTTTATTATATTCCTGTCTTCCACTTAAAACCTCAATCATATCCCCCCTAATTCTACGTTTTCTAGAGAGTGCAGTTTCAGGGCCCTTAGTCCTATCCTCATAGGGAAGGTTTCTGATACATGGGATCATCTTTGGGTCATCCTCCTTTGTACATTTTCCAGAGAATTTATATCCATTCTGTAATACGGTGACCAAAACTGTGCAGCATAATCTAAATGAGGCCTAACCAAGGATGTATAGATTTTGAAGAACAACCTGAGACTCCTATTTTTTAAATGCTTCTTGATAAAGCCAAGGATTCTATTAGCTTTATTGCGAACACTTATGCACTGTTGTCTTGGTTTCAGATTACTGCTAACCAGAACTCCTAAATTTTTTTCGAAATCCGTAATATTAAGATCTACATTTTTTAGTTTATATGTGGCATGGTTATTGTCCTGTCCAACATTTAGAATTTTTGCATTTGCCCTATATAAACTGCATCTGCCATTTCTCCGACCACTGCATCAGTCTATTCAAATCTTCCTGATGCTCGAATGTCCTCGTCAGAATGAATTCGACGGCCTATTTTGGTGTCATCGGCAAACTTGCCGATGTCGCTCTTTATGCCCTCATCTATGTCTTTTTATGTAGATTGTGAACAGCAGGGGCCCAACACTGACCCCTGTGGAAAAAACCGCTCGTGACGCTTCCCCACTCTGATTTCTCCCCTTTTTATGCAAACTCTCTGCTGCCTATTTGTCAACCATGCCTCTATCCAGGAAAAAATTTCTCCTCCTATTCCATGTGCTTTAATTTCCTCAATAGTCCCTGATGTGGGACCCTGTCAAAAGCCTTACTGAAGTCCATATACACAATATCATATTCATTACCATGATCTACCTCCTCAAATACCTTAGTGAAAAAATTTTAATAAATTCGAAAGGGCGGGAACGCCCCTTTGTAAAACCATGCTGAGATTCGTTGATTAATTTATGCTTTTCAAGGTGGCTACGAACTGCCTCGGCAATTATTGATTCCAAAAATTTTTTCCCACTATGGAGGTTAGGCTTATTGGTCTATAGTTCGAAGCTAAGGACCTGTCACCTGTTTTGAAAATAGGAAATCACATTTGCCATTTCCACTTATCTGGCACCAAATGCCAGTTTGGTAGTGATATGTTGAAAAGATACCCAAAAGGGTGTGCTAAGCTCCTCTTTACATTCCTTTAGAACCCTGCATACAGTTCATCAGGGCCTGGGGATTTGTTAGGTTTTAATTTATCTATTTGCCTAAGGACCATGTCACTTGTGACCCCTAATAGTGCACAGTTTATTATCGTCCTGTTCTACATAATTTTTTCATTACTGGAAATATCCCTGGTATCCTCCTGTGTAAAAACTGAGAGGAAGTATGTGTTAAAAATTCTAAAACATTTCCTTATCACTGTCAGTGAGCTGACCCGAGAAACTTTTGAGTGGGCCTATCTTGTCCCTGATCTTACTTCTGTATACCTGAAAGAATCCTTTTGGGTTAGTCTTCGATTCTTTGCAACTTTAACCTCATAATCTCTTTTGCTTTTCTAATTCCCTTTTTTTTTTCCCTCCTCTTTAACTGAATATATCGATTTCTTAATTGCCCCTCCCTCTTTTGATTTGCCTATATAGCCTCTTTTTTTAAACCCAATCAGATATTTAATCATTTGTTCATCCATTTAGGAATCATTTTTGTTTGATCTGATTTTCCCTATTTGGAACATAATTTGACTGAGCAGCTAGAACTATGCCCTGGAAAGCATCAAAACGGCAACCATCCCCACCTACCTGACCCCTAGCGGGTCATTCCAGTTCAGCCCACCTAAGAAATTTTTTTCAGTCCTATGAAATCAGCCAAGCGAAAAGTCGGGGACGGAGACTTGATTCCCATTATTGGGGGAAATTCCATGATATGTTAAAACTGAGTGATTTGTGATCACTCTCCCCAAGCTCATCATTAACCTAAAGTTTATTAATTAGTGTTTCCCTACTGGCAAAAACCCAAAGTCAAGGAGGTTTTTTTCCCCTAGTTGGCTCTGTCACAAACTTTTTTTAAAAAAACAATCCTGGACGAATCAAGAAAGTCACCCGACCTAAATTTCCTGTCAAATGCTCCAGTCAATCTGTCTATAGTTGAAATCTCCCATTAGCACAACATTTTCGTATGTAATGCCTTAAACGAATTTCGTCCCATAGAAGTTTACTGCACTCCCTATCAAGATTTGGGGCCCTGTAAATCACACCCAAAATTTAATTTTTTTCTCGGCCCTCGAGAAGCTGTAACCAAACAATTCAGTGGCTGACGCTTCTAATTTTAATATCTTGTCTAACACAACAATTTAAATTGTCTCTGACATACATCGCTACTCCCCACCTTCCTGTTGACCCTGTCAGTGTGGAATAATTATAGCCTTGTAATGTGACATTCAGAGGGCATCTCTCTATTTTTTCAGATTGAGCCAGGTCTCTGTTATAGCAATAATACTATGTTTCCTGCACTTGCAATTAATCTTAGCCCCATCTATCCTTTTTTCTAACACTCCTGCTATTAGTAAAGTAAACCTTAAGGGAGCTAGTCCCTTGCTGCCCTCTGCGTCACCCTTTGTTTGCTGACCTGTTCTATTCTTTATTTATAACTTCATGCTGAATGCCTTTTATACATTTACTTTTTCCCCAACCCAGTGTTGCAACCTGCTTGTTTCCCCACACACCCCATACCCTATCTTCCATCAGTTAAATCATAGCATTTCCCCAAATGGCCTTCTCAATCGAGTCTGCAAGTGCTACCAAACCCCTGCCCCAAGAGATGAACCCCATCCCTTGCATACATATCATTTTTTTGCCATAAAAGTTGTTCCAGTTGTCAATGAATGGGATTGCAAGTTCCTTGCATATCTGTCCAGCCAGCAATTTACACCAATTGCCCTAGACAACCATTCATTTCCTATTTCCCCCTTCTAGGCAAGATGCTACATATATTGGGATCCCTCCTCTTAGACTTAATGAAATCTATAGCTGACCTGTACTTATCTAGCAGCTCTTCTCACCTACCCTTCCCAATATCATTTCCACCAGCACTGAGACAGATAATGGGCTTGTTCCCATTACCTGACATGATATTATCCCAGTCTGTTGACAATGTCCCCAACACCAGCTCCAGGGAACACACTCTATTCTCTCATCTTCTTATTCCTATTACAAAAAGAAACGGCCCAAAAATATCTTACCTGAGATCACCAACCACAAGAATGCGCTTACCTTCATTAGCAGGGCAGTAGAAACCCTTACCTTCACTGGCCACTGAAGTACATTCATCCTGGAGAACAGAGAAGCGATTTCCTACCTTCAGATCTTCACTCTTAACTTTCCTTACTCTGATGCGCCTCCCATTACTGTGAACAACTCGCCACTTGTAGCAGGTGCTGGGCTGCACCTCACTGCTGGTAGCCGTTGCTACCTCCCCACCTACAGCCTCCTCACAGTGAGAGACAGACTGCACCTCACTGCTAGAAGTTCATAGATGAGGAAATATCCAAAATTTATGAAATAGGTAATGATTTAAAATACCCAAGAAATGTAATTGATAAATCTTTTAAAGTTGCTAGGAACACTTTTTATGTTGTTAGGTAAGACACATATGCAACAGTTAGGTATCTTTATTTCGAAACGTTTCGCCTACACAGTAGGCTTCTTCAGTCGAGTACAGAAAAGTTGATAGAAGCAGAAGATACTTGAAGACGATGTAATCAGTCCATCACCCTTAAAGTTTTGAGGTGGTCAGTCCCTCAGTCTGGAGAAGAGCATTGTTCCGTTGT